AAGAAGAGATCTGGCCAAAGATGAAAGCGACTACTGCTGACATGGAGACTTGAGGTGATCTGATCCCTGATGGGCCAACGCTTGTTCAATGGTAAGAATTGTGTGCCAAGAATGACCCACAAGCCATTGCACCAACAATGAGTTGGAATAAATTGGTGATGTTGCCCTTTAAAAGTTTACAATTGCACTTTTGACAAGTTAATATTTTAGAAGTACTAGTAGTAATAATACTTTACATAAAATATAATCTTTATTAACAGATTGATCTACAAGACTACTGATATCCGTTTGTAGTCTGATTAGTATTGACCAGTCACATTTGAGTGGGCTTTGGTTGAATTAAACCTGCATTCTCTCCAGTGTCCACCAGGGGGCGACTCCTCTGGTTGTATAGAAGTCTATGAGGAAATGACTCTACTTCTCTCTTGATTTATTACCTCAGTAAACATTGTAAACATGAATTTATGGTCTCAATCTCTAGTTTCAAGTCTTCTTCAATACAGCATGAGCAAAGTTTACATTTAGTAAATTATGCGCCATTTAGAGTCAAACAGACCATAAAGCAGGGTGTGCTTTATGAGAATATTGTCTATTCCCATTTGCTTATAATCACCACTAATCCTCCATTACTGCTGTAATGATTTCTGAAAAAAGAAAACATTTCATTTTTGACTACTGTATGCAAGTTGCTACACAAAACCCAATAAGAGAGAATTACTGTGCATTGATCATAATGGGCTCTGAATTATTCTCTCCTCGCCTCCTGGCCAGTTCTCTTCTGCTCCATTGGCTCCCGGAGCGCCGTGCCAACAAACCGAGGCCTGAAGGAAGAGGAATACGTCTTTGGCTCGTGCTCAGGAGCTTTCTGGGACTCTCTGCCCTCCCAATCCAAGTCCCATTATCCAAAAAACGCTAATTTTACTGAAATGTGTGCAGCTAACTTCTTGAATCACCGCTTGGGATCCGCTATAGATGCCGAAGTTTCCACAGCAACACATTCTTGTTAGATCATCTCATATTTATACTGGAGGGCAGTGAAGTGGGTCTTAAAAGGGAGCCTGGCAATAACACTGGAAGGGGATTAAAGGGCACGGCTGCCCCTTACATCATTACCCACAGCTTCCTGTTGATTTGAAAGAGCACTGGGGGAGCGTGCCATACGCACTCCTGCTTATGCCTGGAAAAGGTTTCCACACGTGCTGCACCAACATGCAGGAGCGCATCAAAAACGTCATGAGCGTCAGAACCAAGGACTAGCTGAGGACGAAATAAACTACCTTCTGTCAGACAACCCAGGGACTGTTTATGATGAGGAGACATGGAGATATTTAGACGCTGCCATAACAAGCCGGGTTTCAAAACCAACCACCTCTGGGAGAGCTAGGGCGATGATTTAGTGCTCGGAGGACGGAGGCAGAGGACACGATGGAAGGACGAGCTGTAATTTCTCTGTTCCTAGATGACCCAGGCTCATAAATCCTTAACATTGCGGCAGGGACTTTTTCTGTTTCCGTTCTGGGTGAGACCTGAAGCAGTACTGAATGTGACACCTCACCTGGTTGAACCGGCGGGTGAAGGCCACAACGTTTGGAGCGGAGCTGTGCTTCTCCTTCTTGTTCCAGCCGCAGCTCGACAGCTCCTGAAAGCCAACAAACAAGCAGGGAAACCGACATTATGCTCTGAGCCAGAGTTTATCTTTTATATACGCCAGCATTTTAATGAATGTACGAAACAGTCAAGTCAGAGGTCACTCAGTGGGAAGCGCAGGAGGAGGACATGAGAGGAGAGAGGAGGAAAGAAAGAGAGAGAGACGCTGAGGACAAGAGCCAGACAGAGTGATGGATGAACGCAGGAACAAACGGGTGAAGTTATTCAGGAGCACGCTCGGCCTCAGTATGAAGCCCAAAACTCAATATTGATTTAAATAGGGCACGGCGACTAATTCAATTTTATTTTCAATTATGATTTTGGCTTCTAAAGATTATGAAAACTAGGTAATTGAATGAAAGGATTACTGTCCCGCATCGCATTTCACAATGATGCTCTCGTTTTGTCTTGTGTTGTAAATCCAGCGCACCCGTTTCCTTTTGAGAGGTGCGCTTATCGCCCCACTGCTCTGTAACAAGAGCACCCAGCTCCTCACAGAACCAGCACTTTTAATCTTGCTGTCAAAGGGCACCAGACTGACGCAATCAACTTTAAAATGTACAACATTTCTAAACGCGTGATGTTTCCAAAGTCAATGAGTAATCGTGCTAAATCATTGCCAACTCAATTTTGAACAATAATTATTTTCTTTGCCAACTGTCAAAAAGCTGAAGCTATCCACTTTACAGTGACCAGCTGCCAGTCTCCACATTTTTCTTGACTTAATTCAGTGTTGATCATCTAATCAATGAATCCTTGTATTATTATTATTATTATTATTAAAAAGTAGCAGCAGCTGTGAAAGAAGCGGTGCCGATAGTAATTTCATTACACCGTTATGTAAGAAATACAGGGCGGTGATTTTGGAACAACATGCAAAGTCCTTTCTGTCCTGAGCACCAGGCTGGACTCACTTTGGCCTCGGGCTGCTGACCTCAGTGCTGAGGTGAAGACGGAGACCACACAAACTCTGCGAGGGGAAGCCAGACCCCCCTCTGGCCCCTACAGAGCGCCTGTAAGGCCAGGGACACCGACATAACAGCAGGGAAAATGTTGCACAAGCTCTCCTCTCAATCCCTGCCGGCCCCTGGCCGACAGTAAGAACAGCTGAATCAGGCTCCCCCACACAATAACCCCCACCCCCCACCCATGAGACCAACTGTCTGGAAGCAACAACCTCTACCCAACTGCTCAAAACGGCCCGACCTGGACCGCATCGGGACGGGTCCTCGCAAAGAGGAGACGTTCAAGGGTGAGTCTCTGGAGTGGTTGGAGGCAGCCGGTGGGGGTGAAAAGAGAAGTAACATATCTAATACAGATGTTAAAAAGCAGACATTCATGCATGGGTGAGGTGATGTCTCAAGGCCTGTATTGCCTGAGTCAGGATGAGGAAACAAGGAGAGAGGAGATGAAGGGATAAGGTTAAGACTATAAAAGACTACATTGTAGAAGCCCATACAGCTCATCTCCCCATGACATTTACGAGCATATGTGGAGCCTTCTCAGAGTCGGAGCATCCCCGTCACAGGATGGAGCTCAAACAGACGCTAGGAGACACTGGCCCGTCTCACCGGAGGAGAGCTCGCCGTTTATTTAACATCTCTCCTTTTTTTAAATAAGCGCTTCCCTTTCTTCCTGCCATCGCGTCAATCACTCTCTCCAGCCTCCACGTGACGCTGGTGAGGCCGGTGTGTGTGTGTGTGTGTGCGTGTATGCGTCTCACGAAGCTCGGACCACCACCACCACCTGACCACCCAGGTAGGCGGTGCACCCGAATGGGCGGTCCCACGTCTCACCTCGCTCACCGAGACCACAACGTTTCAACAACCTACACTGAGCCTTCAATCCCGGACCATGTGGGCATCACGCTGAGCCTGAAGTCATTAACGCAGAGTTGTTCTTCAGCTGTTGCGTAATAAACAGACGCCTCGTGTGTGTTTAAGCGGCAGGGAAGTGATCCGCAGCCTCTCCAGAAACAATTAGGATTTAAATGCATTCTTCTTTTGCCTTTATGGTCTCTCTTTTTAACAGTTGAGTCTTTGGCGAAAGAGGAGTTTTAAATGCTGCAGTAAAAAAAAGCCTGTTCCACTAAACCTCAGACAGCACTTCATTTCCACATGCGGGTCTGGCTGAGCAGCGCTGAAGCCCAGTCCTGTGTGGGTGCTGGAAGCCGACTGCATCTACACTAACATTCAACAACAACTGATGCGGTAATAAAACATTCTTAAGGATCCAACCAAAGATAATAAAGATCAGATTCTAAGCCAAACATTCCACACCAAGACTTCACCTAATCCCAAACATCTCTAAAATTACAGTCTCTAGATCTCCTCATCCATTCACCACGTTGTGAGGAGGCTCACATAAACAACGAGGAAGATAACCAGCTGCAGCTAAGCCACAAATTGCGATGACCTCATGTAAGATGCCACAGCAATTTCTTTTGTCTTTCGTCTTGGAAAAGTGGAAAAGTGAAGTGTTGGGATCCGAGGGGATATTAGGGAGAGACCCCGGGGCTGATGAAGATGAGGAACAGGGTGGAAAAAGAAAGGATGATTGGGGGGGGGGGGGTGGAGCTTGAGTAAGAAAGTTTGCAGCAACAAGGGATGAAATTTGTGGAGAGATCCTGGTGACGACAGGAAGGAGCACAACGGAAAATCTGCACAGTTCTGTCTGTTGCTGATCTCAACTAGTGGTGAGACAGATGTACCCGTTCTCTGTACTGGTGTAAACACAATAGTTATTTGCTTCCGTCGGCCAATCAAGTTGAAGTTTACATCATCACTTCAATATTTGATCTTATCAAACACTTGTCATAATAGTCTCTCTTAAAGCCACTTTATCAGAAACATTGGTGTGCATGTTGTCAATGGGTTATAGCGTTAAATGTAGAATTAGAACCGTTAACAGCATCAAACTGTCTGGTTGCTGCATGTTCGGTTGTCAGATGTGATATTCCAGCAGCGGACTCCAGGTCTACAGAACTAAAAGGTGTTTCACTTTAACGAGTCACCGTGTTAACTGGGGACGCTCAGCCGACTGCCTCCGTGGTTGCTCGAAGCAACTTGCAGAAATGGTTGGCGTAGATGGTAAACACAGAAAAAAAAAAAAAATGTATAAAACACTATTAAACGTGTTCGCTCCCACTGGACTGATCACAAACGTGGTCGTAGCGGCCATTTTAAAACTAAATAATCTCTTGAGTCCATGCCATGGTGCTTGACGTCCTGTAACTGAACACAGATAACAGAGTTGGAAGCATCACCCAATACACGTGTACATCTGGTCACTGAATACTGGGCTCCTTGCTCATGTATTCTACACACATACTAACGGCACACAGATCTGGAAAGTCAATTTCTTTAGGTTGCATTGGTGGTTAAAGCTCGACGAGCTGTTGCACTCCACCGTAGTGCCGTTGCAAAACTGGGCCATTAGCATGTGTGTTGTGTGAGGTCCCAGTGACCTTTGAACACTAAATACCATCAGTTCATCCTTTAATCCAGGTGGACATGTGTGCCAAAAATTGAAGAAATTCCCTCCTGACATGTTGCGTTAATGAGTGTATCGACGGATGGATGAAACGACAGACGGACGAACAGACAAACCAAACAACGTAACTCCTCCGGCCACGGCTGTCGCCGGCGTGGATGCATGAAAGACAAAGACGGAGCAGGAACAGTCAAAGTAAAGAACAGAAGAAGAGGAATAGAAGGCCGTAAGTTGAATTATTATTGGAGCAGTATTGTCGAGCCAGCAGCAGAGTCCATTACCTTGCTGTGCACACCGTGGAAAGAATGACTTTTCCAGGCGCATTGTTAGTACATGTACTCTGTGTGATTCTTATGGTAGACGAGGTCATCTTTCACGGCTAGTAAAACCAGAATATGCATGTTCCTATGTGAAGATTTCATTGTGCATTTATATCATAAAAGTCACAATTGTATTCTAAAAGAAAACTGTAAAAACATGAAATGTGTTCAATGGAGTCTTCCCCTGTTTTTGGACAGATTATTTTAGGTTTTATTTGCCACCGTCTTTCAACCGAATCTCAATGTTTGTTTATTCTTAAAGACACAAAGAACACAATCATGCGCTGTACACATCATTTTCTTCTATCCAGTTCTAACCTCCGAATTCCCCCCAAACTGAATCTGGTATGTTCACGCAAATCTATTTTTGCCAAACCACTTTGATGGTTTTTGGAAATCCTCTTTGACAAGGACAAAGCTGTCCCTGTGGTTTTTAAATTCGTCTCCGCTGCCAAAGACATTCTTTTCTCCACCTTTCAGCATGATGGATGTGTATTGGCCATCATGCTGACAGGCTGTAGTGTGGGTGGGATTCCCCACTGTGGTTGTTGTGTAGCAATTATTGTCCAATCCCTCCACCAGAAAACAACATGTGAAGATCACAGCGCCCGGCGGAGGACTGTACTCAGTGTCACTGAATCACAGAAAAACACACTATATTGAGTAAACGTTGCTCATCTCACAGTCGGCGCTGAAAAAACATTAAGCCTGCAGGCGAGACAGGCCCGAGTGTGTGAAACGTTACCTGCCTCCAACTACATGTCATCGTCGTCTCACATGAGACCTTCAGTCTGTTCAGAGGATTTCTATGCCGGGTGTTCAGACGTGAGAGGAACCGACGTACTACTCAGCGGTACGTACGATGCAATCCGATAGCTGTTCCCTGAGAGCTGAAGCCCGACAGCCGAAGCCACTAAATTGCTGACTTGGCTGTTGTCATGACTGATAAAAACAAAAGTCACCCGCAGACCAACATCTCTCAATCTCTCTTTTACTCTACGCCTTCATTTCATTTTCAACTAAAATAAACATTCAACTGAAGATCATCACCGCATGTCTGATTATGAGATGATGTACTGGGAGAGAAAAAAAGAGATGGTGGCAGGAGAAGTCCTCCAACGTTGCCCCTTTTTTACCCTTCCTCACATGGGGCAACCTGTGGGTCTGACAAGTGAAGCCAATGAGGAAGTGCCTTAAACCTGCATTCTCTCTAGTGTCCACCAGGGGGAGACTCCTCTGGTTGTATAGAAGTCTATGAGAAAATTACTCTACTTCTCTCTTGATTTATTCCCTCAGTAAACATTGTAAACATGAGTTTATGGTCTCAATCTCTAGTTTCAAGTCTTCTTCAATACAGCATGATGTTCATTTAGTAAATTATGGTCCATTTAGAGTCAAACAGACCATAAAGCAGAGTACGCTTTAGGGCGGGGCTACACAGTGATTGACAGGCCACTGCCACAGCGTTGTCTGGTCTTGTGTGTTGTCTGTGTCTTGTCTATATCTTTAACGCCTTATGTTCATGAACGTTATGGTCACCTAAAAATGTCTTGTTGGGCATTCAGTTCTGCTTAGCTCCACCCTCTCATGTAGAGTTGTTCCCATACCAATACCAGCATCTAATACTACACACCTGTGGTCGAACAATGTCGTGCACCCTATTTTTCTCAAATCCACATTGAAATCGGCAGGAGGTGAGATCGTCAATGTTAGCTGTTGGTAGCTGGTGGGTCTGCTTGACTAAATAATGGAGCCAAAAGTTAACGTACGGCAGTAACATTATGATGCGTTCAAGCTCCATTCAGTAAAAATGCGTATTAGGCGAAGTTAAGTTAAAGCCTTATGGTGTTTTACAACGTTATTTTGTAAAATGTAGTGTTTCGGCAAGAAACTTCCAAGTTGTTTGAAGGAGATCTTTCACAGCAGTGTAAATTAATATTAGAGAGGGAATTATGACCCCTTTCATTTTTCTGTTTTAAAAGCACTGGTATCAGATCGGTACTTGAAAACGGCCGACAGGTAATTCAGAACATCTCTACTCTCGTGTCACTACTGGTTCTAAAAAAAACCAAGATGGCGACGGTCTAAACGCCGAACTTGAGGCTTCAAAACCGCAGACCACAAACCAGTCAGTCCACTTCTTGTATACAGTCGATGCATACACGTTATTCTACTCTTTACATTTCTCTTGTCAGCCGATCTGTCCATACTGTAGCGAGCTATCCAATCCAGTTCACTCTGGATTAAATTCACTGCCTCGTAAATTTAGATGAGAGGAAAAGATTTAGCTACAAGTCCCTAGCGTCCTTTCCCCTCCCCCGTCTCTGTGATGCAGCTTGTCATTTCGATGGCGTTTCACTTTGCAAAACCAACGGCCAAAGAACATATCAGCAATTCAGCGGAGGGTTGTAGATTCAACATCAGTCTGCTCTGCACTATGGATTATTTTACCATCAAAACATAACTTCTGGTATTCTCATCAATTATCCACGGGACCCCGTCAACGCTCCGCTCAGCCGCTTTGTCAACTTCTCTGCCATCTTTTTTTTTTGTTCGCAGACGAGAAGCACGAGCGGTATCGTGCTGACGTGGGTCCGTTACGTGTGTAGGAAGTAGAGTAGAGCAACCCTCATGCATGGCAGTGTCTCATGAGCTGTCACTTAACATATCATCAGAAGCAGATGTGTTTAGGCTCTGTGCTCTCTGCTGTGTCAGAGTGGCATGTGCTCCAGGTCTGAGCTTTCCAAAACCCAGCTTCCTTGAGGCCTTTGAGGAGTTCTTTCGGAACACTGGCCTCTCCCGTTAGCATCCAGATTTCCCCCAGCTATCTATGAAAAGAGGATTTATTGCTATTGTGACGGACGGTTATCTTTTCTTCCTCATCCAGCGGTGGGTTTGGCCCGGACCGTCCCGGCTGCTCTCCATACATCTGTTCCATGTCAGCGATGGAACACTTGAGCTAATGAGACCCTCTGTTCTACTGCGATCCTGTTCGGGGTAGTTTTTTTCCACGCTCGTGCCAGGACGTCTGTTTGTGCGTCATATACACATGTTAAAAATGTTGTAAACACCAAAAATCAGCGTTGGGACAGTCGGCCTCACACACACATATTATATTAAGATTGTTATGATGCGTTTATGGGGAGGGGAGAAATAAAATCTTTATACACAGAAACCAACAAGCCCAGTCATAGCTAGTTTATGGTCATTTCACCCATTTCAAGTAGTCAGTACAGTTATTATGGAAATTAGCGCAGTCTTGGAAGAACGGCAGAAACGGTAACATTAGAGCAGCGCCGACAGGACAGACTGCTGATGCAGCAAATTTAAAGCATGCAGACGAAATGATTTGCAGTGATAAGACTGAAGAGCGGTCCTGTTGTATCTCTACAGTAACGCTGTTGTCAGGGCATCGATAGAAAACATTTTGAATCTGTGCAGCCGCAGACCAGCAGGAAGACTTGGAACCAATCTGGTGGAAAATCTGACTCGTCTACCGTTTGTTATCATGCGAAAAGTCAGATATTGTCAACGTGAAACCCTCTGAAGAACATCTGGTCCTGTCAAAGTTCAGTATGTGTGAAACTGAAGATATATCTGATCGAAATGTTTAATGCTCCAAAGGCTATTTCAACAAATAAGAATTACCATGGAAACTAACGCTATTCATCTTCTGTCCACTCTGAAAATGACTTTGTTCTACAAGAAAAGAATGTCCTTTAACCCCAATTATGTCCATCACTGTTTCCCATATATACATGTCAGTGTTGTAACATGGCATTTAAAGAGTGCAAATGGGCTGCATGTCAGTAAAAACATTATTGCACAACTCACAGATTCAACCAAGTTATTTAATATTTTCCTATTCAGGCAGTGACTGACACACACACACACACACACACACACACCTGTGAGGAGGGCGAGGAGACCGACAGCGATGGAAACTCTAGTTGAGTTTCTACTTCGGTCATAGCTGCTGTGTAGCTTTTTTTTGTGAGACAAAAGCACCGTGAGAGCAGGAACAGCCTCTCCAGTCCGCTCCGTCTCTGCCAGGAGGCTGTTGGGTCACTCTCCCTCCAGACTGCAGCCTTCATCTCCTTGTCAGCCCTCCTCCTCAATCACACACACACCTCCCAGTACAGGTCTCTCCAAAAGATCTCACCATCTTAAAGCAATAAGTGAGCCGCGGTCCCCGTGTACCTGACCCTTTAAACCGTATTTTCCAAACTGCTACACTGAACTGAAACGCACGGACACATTTTCATTAGGCTTATAAAACCCACTCAGTCAGTCGACCCAGACTCGAGCACGTTTGCATTCACAAACCCTGCAGTGTGGGAACTTGGCCCCCGTGCAGTTAAGAAGACGGGGCCGCCGTGTGTGTGTGTGTGTGTGCGTGTGTGTGTGCGTGCATGCGCCGTTAGCTGAGACAAGTGTTGAACATGTGCAGAAGCAGGAGTCAGACTGCAGCACACCACACTGGGATGTGGTCTGTGTGCTGCTTTTATAAGGCCACAGTGGCCAACCTTAAACACAGGTTATCCATGACTGCTGTCAGGAACGGCCCAACTATCCAATAGAGAAAACATTTTAAGAAATAACCGGATCTCACTGAGGCGACAGGCCGGGTGAGACACAGATGCCCCCTTTTTTCTGCATCACTAAGGTACGTGTCACAGCTGCTCAAAGCACAGCATGGTGCAGGAAATCAGCTGCATGGACATTTTACAAGGGAGAAGAGAGGCAGAGAGGGAGACAGACAGCAGATGGAGGGAGTCAAATCTTAAATATACAGACACGCAATTATGTTAACAGTCGTCACATATACGATTTTAGACATGTCACTCCCGAAACGCGTTGATTTCTCACGTTGGAGGACAAGAGTGAAGCTGCCGACACCAGTGGTAATTTCGCTGAACGGAAAAACTAAGACGAAATGTGTTCGTCGGCGTCTTCTTTTCCCCTTGACTAAGACGAGATGATGGCAAGACGGCACCGACCTCATTAAACACTAACGGTGACGATATCAAACATGCAGTACGGTTGACGAACAAGACGAGAGTTTGCAGTTGGGTTCAGGTCGTTGATTAACGCAGATTTTTGCATGTTGGGAGGTGCGGTTTGGCTCTCGTAGTGGACTGGCGGGTGCGACTGAACTCCACACATCACTACTGAGCAGGAGGTCGCGGAGTAACAAAGCTGCATTCTTTATCATTCAACCTGCGTTTGTCATCAGATAATAATATGATAATATCTAAAAATGACAAATTTACAGTTTTGGTCAGACTAGATTGACAGAAATCTGAAACATAATCTGAAGACTGAAAAGGACATTTGACACAGGACTGAGACTAAATTAAAATAGGACAAATAATTTGACTGAAATGTAAACTGGACTAAAACTGCGAAGGTTAGAAAGTGACTAAATCTGTGACGAGAGCATGTTTGTTTAAAGGCTAAACCTAAAAACAGCTGCCGAAGTGAACGCAGGTCGAGAGCAGCTCACCTCTGGCTGGATGGCTTGGAACACGGGAGCATCCATGAGCGTAATCTGACCCTGGAGGAGACAAAACATAACGCTTGTTAGATTGGGACAACATTTCGTCACAACTCTCAAACACCACGCCACCACTCCAGAGCTACATTATCGTGTACTGGAAAAATCATAAACGATCTAAATCCAAGTTTACCAAAATAATGGTTAAAGGATTAAAACACTGCTTTTGCGAGAGAGGTGTTTGTCCTCTCAAGCAGGTGGTTGAGACAGAGGTCTTCTATAGACTGGACCTTTATATAACTTGATACAGCATGAGAAGATGTTGAATAAAGACACTACAGTTTAAAAGAAGATAAAGAGTGCCCTCTTGTGGTTGAACAGTGAACACCATACATCAAAGATAAAGGATTACAGACATGCTGCAGAGCATGTTTTTATTTGATATATTACGGGATAATCCCGTAGTCTTAGTGCTCCAGACCGGTCTCAAGACCACTTCTTGGAGGTCTCGACCACACTTTCACTCCGTCTTATCTCTGCCTCAGACAATCAGGACTCAGGATTGTATTACACGACCGGAATATATATCACATATGCAGGAATATATCACAAAACTACATTTGTTTTTGGTGTGTTTTTATGGGAATGTGGATCTTTTCACATCAATTTGCACAGCCCTGGTCTTGGTCTTGGTCTTAACCCGGTCTCAACCCTTCAAAAGGGTCTTGGTCTCGGTTTAAGCTCTTGACTACGACACTGGACAATCGTGAGCAGCGTTATCCCTCACAACAACGTAAAGGCTAATAATTCAGATGTGTGATGTTCGTATGGAAAACGTGTGTGCAGCTGAAGCCAGATGAGATCTATCGGCGCCCGCTTGGCACTAGTGCCAACCATCATCAATTATTACTGATCCAAACTCTGACCCCATTTCCTCCACCAGCATCCCGTCTCCTCCTGTCTCAGCACATCGCGTTTGTGCTTACTGAACATTTTGTGCTTAACAAACACAGACCCACACACACACACACACACACACACACACACACACACACACTTAAACTTCACTTACTGCATATTCTTCAGGAGTGACCTTCAGCACATCGAACACAACGGCGTCAAAACTCTTCTTCAGGTCTGAAGAGCCTTTATCGCTGAGAGACTCGCAGCTGCTGCTCCTCTACAAAACACACACACACACACACACACACACACACACACACACACAGAGTAAAGAAAGAAGAACGGTGCCGTTAGGAACAAGGTAATTATTAAGTGACTTAACATTTCAATACTTGTCACCTAATTATCGTACATTCAGCTTTCTGTTTGGAAAAGTGCGCACAAGGTGAATTTTGAAAGCAGTGTGTGCAGAGTGGACGTCTCACCTCAGAGACTGTTGCAGTGGTGGTGATGATGCCTGATTGGCCATTGGGGAGGTCCATCATTCCCACACCATCTAGCTCTAGATAAGACCATTCATCATCCTCCGCTGCAGCAAAGCCCGCCCGGCCCTCTGAAAACACACACACACACACAATATGTCGCGGTGAGTTTATTTGGCACCACATCTTGACAATCGTCACCTGCAAACATAAGCAGACACTCGGCTTGTAGCAACAGCAGCAGCACCACCTACTGTTGGGTTGGAGTATTCTCAGCTTACAGACTGCCAAGTCAACGACTGAAGAAGACCAGCACAGAAGCAAAGAAATTTACTTCAGACACCGAAAAAATGAAATTAATATCATATATTTTCACCACTTTACCTTGCTGTCAGGGAAGTGACAGCAAGCTGTTATCTTTACTCTCTTCAAAGCCACAGGACTCCATCGACGAATACAGTAGTTTTACCTTCCAGAACACGGGAGTTGCTGTTCTACCACTGCCTTGATAATTAGTTTGTGTGACAACAACACAAACAAACTGACCAATCGAGGCAGCGGTAGAACAGCAACTTCCATGTTCTGCAAAGTAAAATGACTGTTTGTCAATGGAGTCTGGTGGCTTTGAAGAGAGGATGGATAACGGCCTCAGTTCTCGTCGGAAACGGCTGTCTGACAGTAAAGCAGTGAAGATACTGTAACTATAGCATACACGTAAACTGATTTTTTTTTTAGGCATCTAAAGTAAGTTTCTCTCACAACTTCACATCAGTCATGGCTTCTGAAAAAAAGACAATGCGGGTATTCATATACTTGTTACTGATATTCTAATCTACCTGTGATGATGTGGAGAGATGGAAACCCGACGAGAACATTTAAGCATCCGATGATTCTATGCGGCGTGACTGTAAGACTGGCTCAGTGTCTACGTCTTTTACTGTGGATGATTTCCTGTTAGGATAATATATGAATGTTTCTGAATATTCTTCACCTCAGAGGCTTTTCTTTGCCAAAAGCACACAGAGAGAGAGAGACAGTAATGAAAAGTAAGAAGTGGCTTAGAATACTGAAAGCGAGCAAAGCCATCCCTTGTCTACTTGACAATGCCAGCCTCTGTGCGAGTGTCTCGCTCTATCTTTCTGGCTCAAGGCTGAAACAGGCCGGTGCTTTAGGAGCCATTAGCTGCCTTCCACAGTTGCACTCTGCTAAGCCGCGGGCAAACACCGCTACATCACGTCAACTCCCCTCCCTTTGTTTGACAGCAGCGCTTTAACTACACAGGAAGCGAGAGCCAGTGTGTGTTCACAAGCCTGAGTCTGTCTGTTGTTTATGAAGTCATGCATCTGTGATCACCTTACTTCCTGTGACAATAACCGTGTATGTCTTGTCGTTTTGACCAAGAATGGACAGACTCTTATACCTTCATTCCTCCTACGGGCAGTTTAACACCAGTGTCTCGTGTTCAGAGGCCGTGACGATTATTAAAAACGGTGATGTGAAGCGACACTACGAGACAAAGAACAAATCTTTTGAGCAAACAAACAAACTCAGATCTGAAATGAAGGCACAGAAAATAAGTGATCCAAGAGTCCAATATGATCAGAAGCCTAACACATGAATTCACTGACCAACACTGATGTAAACGGAGAGAATAGAGCTGAAACCACAGATACAGTCCCTGCTCACCAACTTCTCTTTTTAAACAATGAGAATCACTATATTCTTTAGTGACATCACTTCACCCTGAATGAACTGAACTTAAAGCTACAGGACAATTCAGATAAATACCTTCTTCTACAATTAAGTGCTTCATTTTAAGATGCACATTTTTCAAAAGCTTTTTGTTATTGTTTAAATGCATCCTTTATTTTATTATTTCTTAATTTGAAAACTGACGATAAATATGTTTGAGACATTATTGAATCAAACTTTCTTTATTTGATGATCAGTCGTCAGTTGACACGACTGCTAGGCTACTTCAACATATATGGGACTAAATCACAGCGTAAGTTAGACATTACTGTGATGTTCCAGATCTTTGTGTGAGGAAAGCCTCTCTAACTGGACCTCGTTGAATATTTATTGAATACTCCTACCATAAGACATGCAAGTGTGCCAAAAACACTAAATGCCTCTACAACTAAACTTGCCTTTGTGACACATCAACTCATTTGGTTTGTTTTGGCTCCATCTCCGCTCCTGTGTATCCGACACAATAAGCAACGCACAGCCCTCCAACTGTGATCACATGCTAAAATAATCAAAAGACAGTTAGTATTCAACCCTGCGGGCACACAAACGGGTCTGTGCTGCCACCAAACCAGCCGTCCTTGCAAAGGCGAGGCCAAACGTACCAGTTGCGTGTGTCAGATGAGCATAGTGTTGGAGGCGACGTTGTGCCGTTCTTTAACGCCTCCCGTCTTTCTGCGGCTCCTGCTGTCTGTGTGAAGAGAGGGGACGACAAAAGGAGAGTGAGGCTGAGAGGAAGGCAGGATGATTCTTCTGAACATGAGAAAAAAAACCCACGCGCACATTACTAATGAACACGGCCACAAACATCCCAGCTGATCGGATTTTACGTAAGAGCTCAATAACCCAGCAGCCATTGCGTTGACGTGATCTGTAGCGTCTGTTCTAGTGGGAACTTTGGTGGTGATCTATCAGTTTTAGCAGCTATCATATTATTATATTAGCTTCAAGTTAGAACAAGGATCTTTCATTTCGGCAGTCACTGTGTTTCTGAGCACCAGAGTCCCTTTAAAACCTCTCATTTTACTGCAGCAGGGTCCGACAGTCTGCGAAGAAATCACAAAAAAGCACCACTTTACATCTCGTGTTTACCAGAGATGTGCTCATTCAGCATGTAAAAAACTAATAGTCCAAAGAGATCTTAGTTGACTAAGAGCAAAAAGACTGATTAGTCACTAATCAACTAAGAAGGAGCCCCAAGAATCTCATTTCATAGACCGTCTACAGTAAAATCGCACTGCAGCGCCTACTTCAACCAAACAGAAAGCACAACACAAGAGTCTAGAGCTGCAGATAACAATCACTTTCATTGTTGATTAATCATTCATTGTCTTTAAATTGCTCGTTTTGTCCAACTAATAGTCAGGAACCCACTCCAAACTTTATGATATTGGGGAGTTCTTGGGTTTGTTTTGAACTTAATTCACTGGCTTTGTCAATAAGGACAAGTGAAACTCTACGAGCCAATCGAGTGTATATCCCATCATGCTCTGTCTCCAGGCCTCTGTGACGTGAGATGCCTGACATCAGCCAGCAGGTGTCTCACTACTCAGAGATGAAAGCCTGTGTGATCTGGACTGTGAGGGACTGATGAAGACTAATGCTGCATGCTGGCCCTCAGCCATCAGGTAGTGGCTCAGATCTGGTCATCCCCTCCAGGTTAGGGTCAAGGTTTCCACTCATCCGAGTAAACTTTAAACATTCTTTCAAAGATCACATCTTACCAAGTCAGCAGCATCACAGAGCTCGATAACGGCCTTGACGAGAAACACCTTTTCTTTTTGTTAGGGATACAGAAATAACGTCTCTGTGCACAAAGTGTGTCATTGTCACGTAACAAAGTGCTGATCTGTCCGGACCCTGGAGCGGTGTAAACACCTGCCGGCAACCGGCCGGTCTGCCCTCTGTCCTGTCCTGGTCTGTCCTGATCCTGGTCTGTCCTGATCCTGGACCAGTTCTCATCTTTCAACTTTACAGCTCCTTGAGACGCCCACGCCTCCAGCTATGCTACTTCAGAGACACAAAGAGAGGCGGCACAACCTCCTTCTGAGTCACTGCCCTCCCCATCCAGAGCTCCTGATGTAAGAGCCCCCCCTCCTCCTCCTCCTCCTCCTCCTCCTCCTCTTGGCAGCATCCATGCACCTTCTTGACACCGAGCTGAGCCGACATGTGTTGTGTTTGGTGACATAACTCCACATGGTTGTGTCCTTGCCTCGCTTACTGAGGTTCAAGTCGGGGGAATGTTTTGAAATCTGAATTTTTTTATTTTATATATATTTTTTTTTAAATTGAATCCGATTTGGATTTTTCAAGTCGAAGGTTCGATTATTCGTTTTTTCACGATGAGAAAATCCATTCTCACCGAGTTTCAGTGATGCTTTCGACCACATTAATATTACATTAAGCAGCCTTTCAGGGGACAGCCCTAGAATGTGTACACATCCAGGTAAAGGAATAACATGAGAGGTGTGTGTGTGTGTGTGGAGATGGGCTGACATCATGTCGGCATCCCCTTCAGGGGGACGTGACGGGGATTAGAGGAGGAAGCAGAGAATAACAGAGCGTGGACTGAGTCGTGTTGGAGCTTGTAGCAGAGGATGTGTCGCTGTTCAGCTATATGTGACTCATTACACTGCATAGCAGGTGCTGTTGAATAATCACACCTCTCTGGATCGGCTCCCCCTCCCTCCCTCTTGTCGTGTTGTCGGACGGCTCTTTGACATTCACATGCGCACCGCAGTTCAAACACAAAAGGTGCTGGCAGCCCAACAGGCCTCGTTACCGACCGAAGGGCACAGCGAGTGTTTGTGTGTGTGTCCCGTGCTGACCCTTCACATTCCCGTCTCCAGCGGCCCTGAAAGCAGGTCTCCACCCCCTCTGTACGGCCAACACTCTGTCCTCCTTACGCTGCTCAACTCCGGCTTTCCTCTTCACCTCGACCTCATTTTATGGTAGAAAATAAAAAGTATTTTCCAGGAGGTAAACGAATCAGAGAGCATACATATGACGCTGGCCCTTTAATTGGTTAATCAATCAAATAATCACCAGATTATTTGATTATAAAAATAATCATTGCGGCTCTAATTACAGTACCGTACCAAAACAATCACAAGAAAGGTTGTCAACAGGTTGGAGAGGCTAAACTCCATACAGCTAAATACTATCATATCATACTAATATGAATCTATGGGTGGTAACAACACTGATACTTTCCCATTAGCCCTCTCCTCTCTTGACCAACATCTGTGACAGCGGCTGTCCTTGTAAGATGTATAATTAAATGTTCAGAATTTGTGTTACTCTGTGACCAACTGTGGGGCGGTGCCTCCCAGATGGCTCCGAGTCTATAAAGTGGAAACACCATAAGAACCAAGCTGCTCCGAGCCGTAATCTTATTAGCTTTGAATGCGTTTACATGTTTACTCACGAGTCCCAACACGAGGCCCAAGCTCCCACATGGACGCACATTAAAGTCACTGCGAGGAGCTTTTATGTTATGAACGGGACAATCAGTGAGAAACATTATAGTTATTCTTAATGCCCGTCACAGGGTCCGGTTCTCCACAACATCAGACCAGAAGAGCCCATGTTTACATTTGTACAGGTCAGCAGTGAGGAGTACCACGGCCAGTTAAAAGGAAGCCAGCAGAGATTTACTTTAGATATTTTAATTTCTGATGTTATATATTTTGGTCATGTCTGATACTGGAGCAGGACCAGCAAAGACATGGTTTCTGGTGGGAGGCTAACACAAAGGTGACTTTGTTTCACCATCGTCACATTGCGGTTATTAATCTTCTATAGCCACAAATTGATCCATTACCTCATCACCATGCATCCTGCAAACACACGTTTATAAAAGGAGAATTGTATCAGAAATATGTTGTCTTTTTTCCCCAAAACAAATGCACGCTATCTAGATCAATATCTTTACTTTTAAAACAAATGCACGCTATCTAGATCAATATCTTTACTTTTAAGACGGTGGAGCTCGTGGAGATCACTACCGCTTATGTCCACAGGGGGCGCCAAAAACACCACAAGATGAAAGTTCCTCGTAAAGCTGCTTTAACAAAGGATTAGAACTGAACCTCAAGTGTGTTCAGGGAAAGGTCGCAAGTTGTGAGACTACGAGTAAAAAGGTCAGACGAGAGATTTGTGTAACGTTGTGTGGCTTCGACAGCGCTGCCATTTCCTGGCTGAAGCCTCATCATTATGAACACGGTCCGGTAAGAGCGCCGGCCTTCTCACTGCAAAAGCTCTTTGAAAAAAGGACAGAAAATAATCCACTTCTCCTTTTGCTCCAATGTGCACGTTCTAAATAGATGCACAGCCCCTCCTCTCTATGGCCGTCAGTATCATGCATGCACTGCAGATACACGTGCTTTGTGTTGTGCCTCGCAGCGGCAGAGCTCCATGCAGTTAAAAAGAAAAGCATGCCGCAGATGCAACGAAGTAGGTCAGTGTGTTGAGCTGAGCAGTGAGGAGTCTGACGGCCCATTAAGCTGTGCCCTCTCCTTCTCTTTAGTGTGCGCGCACACGCATCTCTACATCTACACTACATCTCTACATTATATCCACAATTAATTTTGGTCAAAATTGGGATAACGTTTAGTTAATGTGGTTACTCAGACTTTAGGATACATTATGCTCTTAGAAAGAGAATTTTGTACATTTTAAAGTTAAATGCATCACTCTGGTGGACTTTAGGAGACTAGACCTATGAAGAACTTTCTCCTCTCGTAAACAATTTAATCGTAAACACATCGGTTATATAGATATGAATAAAAAAGTCACACCCACAAAGCATGGAAAACGAGACTGGGTTGCAGACATCGCGCACAATAAATCGGTTTATCTCGGTAATCTTGTTTCATAATCAACGATAGACAAAATAGTCATTGAAAACAATTAATTGCCCAGCCCCACAAGTTTTCTTATTCGACACAACACTGGGCTAAACCTGTAAACGAGTTGGGACACAACCCACTTCACAAGCTTTAAGGATATGAAATGTGTGTCTGCTCCTACAGTCGATCTTTACACTCCTGTGTGAAGAGGAACAAAATGGAGAAGCCACACTTCCAACTTTGGTCAGAACTACAGAAGAGCTCGTTTATCACTGCAGAGCTCGTCGTTTCAGTGACGTTATAGCATCGAATCCCGGCTCCATCTTTCCCCGAGCTCCAGTCAAGCCTCCCCCGGAGAGCACTATTGATCTGGAGATAAGAGGGGCCGTGTTGATCGATCTCTCTCTCTCTCTCTCTCTCACACACACACACACACACACAGCGGTTCGTGGCACTGTGTGTGTGGGAACATGACCAACACCCCCTTCACACCATCACTTAACTGATGTTCAGATGGAGGTCAACCAGTAGGAGTAAGAACTGCAGGAAGGGCAGCGGGGACAACAAAAACACTGCAGCTACATACACAATCACTCACATCTCTACAAAGAGACAATGTGCTCCATTTTGAACACCCGTTTGTTTTCTTTGCTTAAAGCTCTCCAACTCATCTTTCCTAGAACAGAGCAGTTCATCATTTTAACTCTCAGGACACAGAACAGGTTTACTCGCACACAGTTTACAGCACACTCCGGTGCCCCGCTGCTCACAGAGCGAGGCTCCATCGACACAGACAACACACGCGACAGGAAGTGAGACAGCATCTCTACAGTCCAAATCC